TTGAATTGGAAGCGGAATTAATTTTAATCATAATTTAATTAAAATAATGAATTTAGAATATATCAATTATTATTATTTTGTTTATCTGTGATTAGAAGATTAACAGAACAATCTTCACACTTATGTATTGTTTAAATAGACTTGTTATAAATAAACTGAAAATAACTTTTAATAATTTATCCGTCTGATTAAGTTCCTTCAGAAGAAACAGGAAATTGTTGTTACATTTTTCCTTCCACTCTAACAATAATTTCCTGGCTATAAATATATTTAATAACAATTAATTGGGCGCACACTTTTAATTGTTTTTATTACTTTAAAATGATAGTTTTAATTTTAAATTTTTAATTTATATTAAAGAATATTGTGCATTTTTTAAAAATTATTAACTAAATTAAGAAAAAAATCCAAAGAATAATTAATTATTTGAAGTCTTTTCGATGAGGAAATGAAAGAATTTCTTTGACAGATGACAATTCTTTTCAGTATAAGCAACTATACAGGGAATGAAGTGCCAAAGTAGAAATTATGATTAATATTTCAAAAAAATGTGTGTTTATCTCTTGAAAATGTCAAAAAAAAAATTTATTATTACTATTTTTTTTAATAAGAAGTTTTTAATTTCAGAACTGTCATAAAAATTAAAGAAATGAAATTCATTAAGTATGATATGTTTGAATAATTTCTGGACTAAGTTCAGTATATTTATATATATATATTTTTTTTTTTTTACTTTTTAATATTTCAAATATTCTAGTAGGAATAAATTAAATTATTCTTCTTGTTTTTTTTCAAGATTTTACCGAATAACAAGTGAATTAACATGAGCTTTTATGTTATTATTAAATATGTTTAAATGCCTAAATTTTTGTTATATTTTATAAATTTATATTAAAAAAATAATCATATTTACTGTGAAAATTTATATAAATTACCGTTAAAATAAATCGGGTTTATGATTAAAAAAAAATCAATAGATTTTCGCCATTTTTGCATCACTTCAATTTTGATACTTCATCAATTTTTCAATAATAAATAATTATAAATAATAAAATTTTTAATTGTTTATGCTTATTTTTTAACATAGTTTTAGGGTATAAAATAAAGAATTTATTTTTTTAAAAAATACTTAAATTATTTAATTAAATATAAGTAGAAATTTTAAATAAGGAAGAAGTGATAAATATTTTCAATTTATCGCTTTCATTTTGGAGTTATGCAAATTAAATAAACAAACTTGCAACAATTCTGATGGAAATTCTAAAAGAGAAAATAGGAAATTTAAGAGAGATGACAATAAAAAAACACACAACCAATTGAAATCTTTATTCAATTCTTCTTAAAGTATTCTTCGTTTCAGAGAATGGAAAACTAAAAAAAGGGGTGAAAAAATCAATACCGACAGACAACTGACTGAATATTAGAAATGGAGAAAATTGGAAACTTGTCACTCTACCATCCCAGTTAGTTGCTGGGATGGTAGAGTTGCGCGTGCGTATGACATCACTATACTCAGCCACCTGTGGTATGTGTCGTTCCCATCTGCTATCTGTAACTTGACAACTGTAGCGGATTCTATGTTGGTATAAAGGATTTTGCTATTGGAGAAAGGACAAGAATATTTTTTGACAATCGACATCATTCCTTTAGTAAAAAAAAAAAAAAAAAAAAGAAAACTATATGTGTGTGTGTGTATATAAAAGTGGAGACGAATAAATGGAATTTCACTCAAGTGAACGTCGATATTTTTAGAAGTGAAAATATAAGCAAAAAGCATTGCAGAAAGCGCAATTTATCTTATTTTTTTCCCTTTTATATTTATTTTAAAATATAAAATCTACGTAATATTCAATGAAATTATCTTATGGAGTACGTGATACGTATTTTTACACGTTTTTTTTTCGATAGAAATTATTTAAAGGCAAGCAAATAATCGTTAGAAACAGCTTTTAACTTCGATTTAATCGCTCTCTAATTGGAAGATTATAAAGAAAATAATAAATAAAAGATCGATAAAACTAATTTAAAAAAAAATATTTTTATTATTAAGTAAGAAATAGAATGTAAATGAAGAGATAAATGTAAAATATATATACTGTATATTATATATTGTTAGTTGATTGCTTAAAATATTGGAAAAAGATAACGAAGACAATCAAGAAATATTTTTTGTTTTTATCAAAATAAATTTAAAAGTAAATTATTTATAAAATTTATTATAAACAATTGCACTTTAATTACGTGTATTAGTCCATTTATATGGGCAATTGTTCATTATTTTCTATTGATTTGCGGTGCTTGTGATTTATCGATCTTATTAAGCCCATATGAATGATTGGTCTGCATAAAGTCTTATTTCTAACTTGTTTACTTATACGTCAGAATTATAAATATAATGCCCTCTCACAGGGCCCTTTGGCTTATGCCTCACAAGAACTAAAAGGCTTCCTGTTCTTGCAAAATACCAAGAACAGTGCTTAAAATTATTATTCATTCCATTGTATTTCTTGAATATTAAAGCAATACATTTTTTTATGAAGTTTTAATTTAACGTTGCTTTATTATTTTAATATACTGGTGGCATCATAGAGTGGCCTCAAAACTCCCTACTATAATATTTAAACATGGAGATCGACTCATTTAATTTTACATTTTAAAAAATGCATAAAGTTACTATGCTTCATGCATAAATTTACAGTATAAAACATTATATTAAATAGGAAGGTGGCTTATGATTTATGAGTAAATGCATCTAAAATTAGAAATTATTAAAGAAATATTCACATTTTTTATATATCAAATGGAGAAATATTATACCCATAGTAAACTGATCAATATTTCAAACAGCTTTTTGAAACAAGTTATCAAATCATGTAGGATACTCTATCAAAATCTGTCAAAGAAAAAAAAATGGATCACTTCTTTTTATTTTAACAATTTAAGGGCATTTGATCAAGTAAACTGGTTTATCTCTGGCAAGTCTTCAACATCATGTAGCATGTTTAGCAGCTATACAATTTTTCTTTATAGAAAAACAACACTCCACTCTCTCACAAGCTATAATTTTATGTTATAAACTACTTTAATGTAATAAAATTTAATTAATTTAGAGTGTTTTTTTTAGAAAGAAACTTAACTTATCCATTATATATTGATTTTATTAA